ACTAGGTTTTATTGGAACGTGTAACAAGTCATTAGGTTCAAACTCAACTTCTGCATTGTCTCTCGTGGCCAACCCATGAGGGTATCCAAACATTCTTACTAAAAGGGGTTACAGTTCAAGTCATTCCAAGGTCCTTTCAAAAAAGGGTTACTGCTCTCAAACTCAGCCGTTTCAGTCCCTAGGTCTAATAACAAGGTGGTCTCCTCATCTCACCCCTCTGGCTCATAGGGGCCTTCCTCTCCACAAATGGGGTGCACTGTTCATCAGGAATCTCTTCCTCTAGGCTTCCTCAAGATGCCATAACAGCCGTTCTCTCTCCTCTCTTTCCACCGTCTCCTTTTCTTCCCTGAGTCTCCTGCACTACTCTGTCTTCTGACTCACCCCAATAGGAAGGACGCAGTGGCAGCCCCCTTTTCCGTCGGTAATCGGCTTCCTCTCTAGGGATCCGTACCTTCTCCCATTTTCCAGTCCATGGGTCTTCAATCCATATCATTTCTCACCCCCCCGGTATCACATCCACCTTACTTTTTTTATAGCTCCTATTTATGCCTCCATGACAGACCACCCCTTTCTTCTCTTCCTGCCAATTCCCTCCCGGTCTGAGTGGCCACTGTCATCTTTGACATTTCCCACTCTAATTCACAGGTATCCACTCCACGTTGTATAGTCTCGATGGGCGGCATAGGAGGGTCTGTGCGCCTCCTGCTCCTTTCTGAGGGAGGCCAATACTACGGTGAAAGCTTCTACCCTTTCGCCTCGTGTCTCAAAATCTTCCCTTCTTTTTGCCAGGAGGTGATGGGGCCAGTGGCCATGATCTTAGTTTTTTTGATGTTGAGTTTGAGACCGTTTTTTGCACTCTCCTCTTTCACCCTCATTACAAGGTTCTTTAGTTCCTCCTCGCTTTCTGCCATCAGAGTCGTATCATCTGCATATCGGAGGTTGTTGATATTTCTTCCGGCAATCTTAATTCCAGCTTGGGATTCCTCCAGTCCAGCCTTCCGCATGATGTACTCTGCATATAACTTAAATAAGCAGGGAGACAATATGCAGCCCTGTCGTACTCCTTTCCCAATTTTGAACCAATCAGTATTTCCATATCCAGTTCTAACTGTTGCTTCCTGTCCACATATAGATTTCTCAGGAGATGGATAAGGTGGTCAGGCACTCCCATTTTTTTAAGAACTTGCCATAGTTTGCTGTGGTCCACACAGTCACACATTGACTATGCAAGGCTTTTGCGTAGTCAATGAAGCAGAAGTAGATGTTTTCTGGAACTCTCTGGCTTTCTCCATAATCCAGCGCATGTTAGCAATTTGGTCTCGAGTTCCTCTGCCCCTTCGGAATCCTGCTTGTACATCTGGGAGTTCTCGGTCCACATATTGCTGAAGCCTATTCTTTGGCACTGCCCTTCTTTGGGATTGGGATGTAGATTGAACTTTTCCAATCCTCTGGCCACTGCTGAGTTTTCCAAATTTGCTGGCATATTGAGTGTAGCACCTTAATAGCATCATAGTTTAACTGGAACAGTTAAATAGTTCAACTGGAATGTCATCACCTCTACTGACCTTGTTGTTAGCCATGCTTTCTAAGGCCTACTTATGACTTCGCTCTCCAGGATGTCTGGCTCAAGGTCACCAACCACACTACCTGGGTTGTCCAGGACATCCAGATCTTTCTGGTATAATTCCTCTGTGTATTCTTGCCACATCTTCTTGATGTCTTCTGCTTCTCTTAGGTCCCTACCATTTTTGTCCTTTAACATGCCCATCTTTGCACAAAATGTTCCTTTAATATCTCCAGTTTTCTTGAAGAGATCTCTGATTTTTCCCTTTCTAATATTTTCCTCTATATATTTGCACTGTTCATTTAAGAAGGCCCTCTTGTCTCTCCTTGCTATTCTTTGGAAGTATGCATTCAGTTTTCTATAACTTTCCCTATCTCATTTGCATTTTTTCCCTTCTCTGCTATTTGTAAGGCCTTGTTGGACAGCCACTTTGCTTTCTTGCATTTCCTTTTCTTTGGGTTGGTTTTTGTTGCTGTCTCCTGTACAATGTTACTTGCCCACCCAGTCCCGCAATAAAGACACGAAACAGTAATATTTGATTAAATGTGTGCCACACTTTATTGAATTAGCATCAAAATTGTATTTTCCCTCATTGGCAAAAGAAAGGAGCCTGCTGTAGTGCAGAAACAGGTGAAAAGGTCGGGGTATCCAAATACCTCTTTATCAGTAAATGGGTGAGTCCCCGGCCTCAGGTTCCAGTGGTGTAAAAGACTGCAGGAACCTGGCCAGCTGCTAATAAACCCCCCAGACCTCAAGACATCTTTATTTGATGACTGTTGGTCCAGAACTGGCCCAGTGCATCTCCCCCGCACCGACTCTGTAATCGCACAATCTGCAGAGCCAGGAGGTTGGATGTGCTGTTGGCTTACCTGATACGACAACTGGGACACACTGAAAATACCTGCTTTTCTGCACTACCCACCACAGCATAGGAACTGGCTTAGCTATGTCCCATGCCTGCCACAGAGCCTTCTGAGCTTGACAAGCAGGCCCCCTTTGATATCTTCCAAAAAATCTCCAAATCTGCATCAGATAGGTGGACACTATCACTTCGAAACAATTCAGCATTGTTCAATTGGATCCTATGGTGACAAATCACCGATTCGAGGCCGCCAGCGCAGACACCTCTACACACTTCTCTGTTAACACCCCACCAGGCCTTGTTAACATCAACAATACTCCGGGCACCTCACCAGGCTAACCATGGAATGATCATGGACACACGATCCATATTGCAGGGTACCTGGTATTCAGCCACTTAAGGTCTCTCAGAATGTCCAGGATCAACACCTTGACAGATGCTCTAGGCAAATCATTTCTCCCAAATGAATTACCAAAACATCTGGTGGGGGCTGATCAAATGCTGTCATCCTTCCAAGCTGGATCCACTGCATGCCACACACGGCTATCCAGGCAATATATGCCTGGGCACCAAGCCCCAAATTAGTCCCCTATGGGGACGCGGCAGCATAACGTTCTGCCCAATAAACAAAGCTGCGACCAATATCAGTACGTGTCTTCGACCTGCAGTCCCCATAGCACCTGAAATGACATAAACACCCCTGCCTACACATTAGGTACAGTTCTGGTGTACCTTTGGTAACTAGCTGAAGACCATCGCCCTAACTGCTCAATTTGATCTGTGCTATACCCAAGGGCTGCTGCTGTGGATGCTGCTCCTATTCTGAAAGAATGTGTCCCGAATCTCATGCCCTTAACACCTACTCTGTCCAATGCCAGATCTGTGAGTTTCCAAAAGTGATATCTAGTCAGGGGCAACTTATCTGCATGCTGGAAAAAATTTCTGTCCCATGGCCTCTAAGTTCCAGGAATGCTTGTGTGGCTTCCACAGGGCATATGCACCTAATTCTACATTGCCCCAAGACCAACTGTTTCCCTTTACCTTTCTGATCGGCCTTGGGTCGCCTAATGGTAATTTTTAGCAGACCATCCTGTATCATAACATCTCTCTGCTGTAATGCATACTAAGAGGTGTCTCCTTTCCCACTGCCACCAACTCACTGACTCTGAGGGCACCGAAAAAGGCTATTAAGGTGGCTGCTTTAAACAATGGCACCTCATATTGATCCCTACATAATCTTCCCCCTTGATCGCATATGCGCTCTAGAAGTGATGGGGAGAGAGGTGTCCTGGAATCAGCCACCTTCCCCCTATCCTTGGACCATCCTTCCAACATTTTCTTTATCCTATAGTCTCCCCAAAAATCCTTATGCCCATTAATCTTTGCATAAAAGGCCAGCACTGGCAATGTACCCTGTATGGTGCCTGGCACCGACACCTTCCTATGAAGGAATATTATAAATTGTTGTAGTTGTTCTACCGGAGCCGGCCAAACCTGTTCCAGTCCCACAGTCTTCCTAAACTCCTGGAACTCAAAACTTGCAGCTAAGTAACCCTTTCTCATCCTTGGAGCCACTGCCAGACCTACCGCTCTCGATGCTTCTTCACGCCAGTCTGCCAGAACTCCACTGGAAGAACTTCTGGCAGCTCCCTGGCTTTGGGGGCTAGCTCCCTGAACCGTTCAATCTGTTGGTGTGAAAGAGTGTCAGCTGTCTTGTTATCAAGACCAGGATGTGCTGGGCATGCACCAACACATTAAATTGCAATGCCCATAAAGTAAATGTTCTAACTAAATCCATGACCCTAACTGAGTGTGATGATAGGTTGTTTATGATTAGACAACCGCATGGTTGTCACACCAAAAATGAACCACGGCGTTGAACCATTCTTCAGCCCAGAGCCAAAGAGCCCCTACTATTGGAAAAAATCTAAAAATGTTAAATCCATCGTAATGACCTCATTATGCCATTCCTCTGGCCATGTGCCAGCACACCATCTGTCGCTGAAATAAATTCCAAATCCAAAGGACCTGCCTGCATCTGAATTCACTTGAAAGTCTGCTCTCAAACGGATTTCTGCTCTCCAAAAGGAGACCCATTGAACTCCTCAAAGAATTGTTTCCAAATGAGCAGATCTTCTCTCATACTTTATGTCACTCTGGTCCTGTGCATTGGTCACTTAAGACCCCTCATAACGGAGCAGAGGCACCATAAAAAGGCACAGCACGGTGCCACTACTCTACATGCGAAATTTAAATGTCCCACTATCTTTTGTAACTCCTTAAGAGCCTCTTACCTAGCAAATCACTAATTCTGGCTCTAAGGACCACCAATTTAATATGGGGCAGCTCCGAAGTTTGTTGCATTGTATCTAACTCAATCCCGAGAAAAGTTAGGGATGTGGCCAGTCCCTCTGTTTTCTCCTTTGCGAGTTGCAAACCCAATTCACTCGCCAATGACTTGAATTCCTCTAACATTATTCTACACCTTCCAGAATTCCCTCTTCCACAAAAAGAAAATCATCGAGGTAATGGGCTGTTGCATTACAGCGCACCCTCTGCCTGATTTTCCATTCGATGAACATACTAAATCTTTTGAAAGCAATGCATGAAACTGAGGAGCCCATAGGTAAAACCCTATCAATGTAGTATGATCCCTGAAATTTAAACCCTAATAAATTAAAATCAAGGGAGTGGACTGGCAAAATTTGGAACACTGATTTGATACCACACTTCGCCAACTCTGCCCCCACACCACAGGCCCTCACCATATTAATGACCTCATCAAATGAGGTATATCTAACTGTGCACAATTCTGGGGGAATGGCGTTGTTGACTGACTCCCCTTCTGGAAAGGATAGAGGATGTATCAAATGAAACTTGCCTGGGGCCTTTTGGGGTACTATTCCTAAGGGAGAAACTCTTAAATTCCCTATAGATGGTTAGGAAAAGGGGCCGAGGACCCTACCCTCCTTAACTTCTTTATCAATCTTACTCTGCATGATGGCCTCCGAAACCGTTTATTGATCAGAGGTTCTTTGGCATGAATGTCTTTCGCTCCCCCAATGCTGGAATTCTAAACCCATATCTAAATCCCTGATGTAGTCTTCCTTACATGGATATGCCAGCAGCCAATCCTCCAGTACTTCAATTTTAAGTGGACTGGGTCCTCTTACCAGGAGCGTCTCCACTGCTGTTAGGCTTTTTGCCACCTCTTGCTCCTTGGCTTCGGCGCTGAGAACCCGCTTTAAAACAGGTTGAGTTTGGGTGCCGACCACCACACGTGAGGCACTCGTGTTTGAACCTGCATGACATTTTTGTACAGAAGCCCTTGTAATTATAGTTGTAGCAAGGCAGACCTCCCCAGCCCCAGGGTGGGATGTTTGTGAGGAAGCCGTTTTTCTGTTTAGATGGCCGCTATCGAATCTATCTCCTGTGTTTGGCCTAGCCGGGGTCATGTGTTGTAACCATAAACCCGGCTGTGGGTCATCCGAATGCAAGTTGGGCTGAATGGCACTCCTCATTCTGAAAGCCTGTTCATATTGAAGCCAAGCCTGCCCTGCAAAATCTGTATATGCCCTATATATAATGTTAAAATATTGCAAGAGAGCTGAAGCCCTCCAGGGTTGAGCCTTGACTACAACTCCCACATAGATAGTATGTTCCTGTTGATACTTCTAGAACTCTCAGTGGCTTTCAACACCATTGACCATGGTGTCCATCTGGATAGGCTGGCTGGGTTAGGAGTTGGGGGCACTGCTTTATGGTGGTTTTGCTCCTTTCTGGCTGACTGTGTGCAGAGGATGGTGCTGGGGAACAGTTGCTCTGCCCCATGGCATTTATGTCATGGCATTCCTCAGGGCTCGATACTGTTCCCCATGCTGTTTAACATCTACATGGAATTGCTGGGAGAGGTCATCTGGAGGTTTGGGCTGAGGAGTCGGCAATATGCTGACAACACTCAGCTCTACCAATCGTTTTCCACTAATCCAGGTGAGGCAGTTTCTGTGCTGAACTTGTGTCTGGACCTGATAATGGACTGGATGAGGGTTAATAAATTGAGACTCAATCCAGACAAGACAGAAGTGCTGTTAGTGGGTGCTTCGCCGGACAGGCTGGAAGGCCATTTCCCTGCCCTGAATGGGGTTACACTCCCTCTAAGGCAGTGGTCCCCAACCTTGGGCCTCCAGATGTTCTTGGACTGCAACTCCCAGAAGCCTTCACCACCACCTCTGCTAGCCAGGATTTCTGGGAGTTGAAGTCCAAGAACATCTGGAGCTGTGAATTCACACATCCTTCCCTTCCACTCCTCTATCCGTCACGGTACCGTTCTATGATACCATGCTATCTAACTTTACGGTAACGGCTGATTTAGGGAACTGAAAGGAAGATGGAGGAGGCAGGGCTTATATATCCCGTGGGGGTAGCTAACTGACTCTTTTTCTTAAGCTCTAGAATCTTCTGGACGTTCCTGCACAGGCGCAGGATAACCCAATTGTGTGAATTCACAGAGTACTACTAGAAGAACCAAAGTTACAGGTAAGTAACCTAACTATTTTGGTGATTCCTCTTTGCACCAGTTTGACCCATGGAAAATGTATGGCACAAAAGATGTTAAGTCTTAAATACATGTTGTGTTTCTATCATGATAACATTGAACTTTGAAGTTGGTTGTTAGAAAGTAACACTTCATAGCAAAACCAATTCTAAGGCCTCGATCCTGTTCTTAACAGCTTGTTTTCCTCACATTTCCCCTTAGAAATTCGTCCATCTTCATGTAATAATACTGCACCACAGAATGGCTTTTTCGTGGACCGAAAAGATCGCTTTTCTCTCAGTGAGACAGTGACCTATCGGTGTCAGAGTGGCTTCACAACTGCAGAAGGACATGGGGAAGGACAGATACAGTGCCAGGCAGAAGGATGGAAGCCAGAGCCAAAGTGCATCAGTAAGTCTATTTCTTTCATTGATATTCCTCTTTTCTCTTAATTCAGGGATTCAGCAATTGATGAAATCCATGTTGTTTATATGCAGTCTGAAAGAGCGCAGCATTGGAAATTTATTGGTTGGTCCCCAAGATGGAAAAATTACTGACTTTACAAAGAGGACAAAAAACACATAATTTGGCTACATAGGTGTTTTTTGTCCTCTTTGTAATATCAGTATTTTTTTCCATGTTGGGGACCAATCAATAAATTTCCTATCCTCTTTCACTCTTTCACTTTACAAAGTGTACAAAATACTCCTATAATCTGGCTACATGGGGGTGCAGGGCCTGGGCTGATAACAGAGGGTTGAATTCCCTTGTTCCTCCTTGCCTAAGAAACTTCTGCAGGCCAGAAGAAAGGGAAAAACCCCATGGACTTACAAACTAGGTAAGTTTTTCGGCTTGTAAGATCTCAAAGGCGACAAGAGTGGAGGGAAAGAGACAGAATTAAAGTAATAATCAAGTGCCAGGTGGAAGAAACAGCAGTGCCCTTGGCAAAGGAAATAGTGAAACAAACTTAATTCTGCCAGTTACAAAGCTGAGCGAGTTAACCTGGGAAGAAATCTGTGAAGAATGAACTGTAAAACGAAACCTAATCAGTTTTCCCATAGCGATGATTTTTTTGGAATCAATTAAAATCGTTAAGCGAGGCACCACTGTACTGACTTTACAAAGAGGACAAAAAACACACATAATTTGGCTACATGGGTGTTTTTGTCCACTTTGTAATATCAGTAATTTTTTCCATGTTGGGGACCAATCAATAAATTTCCTATCCTGCACTCTTTCACTTTACAAAGTGTACAAAATACTCTTATAATCTGGCTACATGGGGGTGCAGAGCCTGGGCTGATAGCAGAGAGTTGAATTCCCTTGTTCTTCCTCGCCTAAGAAACTGCAGGCCAGAAGAAAGGGAAAAACCCCATGGACATATCAATATATGTAAGTTTTTAAGCTTATAAGATCTCAAAGGCAACAAGAGTGGAGGGAAAAGAGACAGAATTACAGTGGTAATCATGTGCCAGGTGGGAGAAACATCAGTGCCCTTGGCAAAGGAAACAGTGAAACAAAACTTAGTTCTGCCAGTTACAAAGCTGAGTGACTTAACCTGCCAAGAAATCTGTGAAGAATGAACTGTAAAACGAAACCTAATCAGACATTAGTTTTCTGGCATGCTATATACTCTCAACAGTTAATTTCGGTTTGAGCCCCCAATACTGGTGATCTTAATATTAGCGGTCTGAAAACTAAAGGAAGATGTTTTTCATCTTCATTTTAGAGGTAATTATTAATGGTTAATGAGGCAAAAAAAATCAAAACAAAGAGAAAGTAGAAAGGCATAAGTGAGAGAGGAATGACCTAAGTGAGAGAGGACTTTTAAAATCTAAGCCAAATCACCATTCATTGGTGCATCTAGCTCATGTGCAGAAGATAGCCAAGAGGCATCAAGAAGAACCTTTAAAATCAGAACCTATGAACATAAAACAGTTGTTGGATGGCATAGGAGGGGTGAATGAAAATGTGATAGCAATGGATCAAATTTAAAAGGTTTTACCCAAAACATGGCCAGTATTGATCAGAGGTTGCCAAATTTGGATAATAATGTTACAGGTATCCAGAAGGACTATAAAAAAATTAAATGACAATGTGCAAAGTCAGCTGAAAACCGGAGATGACAAAGTTGAGAGATTGCAAAGCTAAATTAAATGCAACTCAAACAGATTAATGGACCAAGAAATAGCTACTACCAACTGAAGTACTCAGTGATCCTACAGCAAGATGTGTCTAGATGCACCAACATCAGAATCAAGGGCGTAAAGAGAGGTGACAAGCAGAGAAAGATCTGCTGCCAAAAACACTCGTTTAAAAAAAGCTCTAAAATCTCGTGGAATGTCTGTGATCTGGATAGGGTCCATTGTGTGAGCTGGAAATGCTCTAGGGGGCAGCCAAGACATGTGGTAGTGAAATTTTCAAGTGGAAGGAAGGAAGGAAGGAAGGAAGGAAGGAAGGAAGGAAGGAAGGAATTCGGATACAGTGGAAGTAAAGAAGGGAAGTTATTAAATTAGAAGGGGGTTATCTATTAGAGTTTTAGGAATTTATACCTATCTGGTAAAAAAGGGTATAGAGTAGTGGCAGATAATATAGTTTAGTGAGATCCATAAGACAAGGAGAGTTAAACCGAGAATAGATATGGAGAGAGCAAATTGTAATATTTTGATTATATTAGATGAGGCAGTTAGATGAATAAATTCATGCAGCTTTTCTCTTTTTTAATTTTACTTTATCTTTTTTTTTAAAAAATTAACCATATAAGAAGTTAAGTTACCAGCCAGTTTGTAATATCCCATTCTTATATATCTCAATGTATATATCTAAGCATATTGTATTTTGGGGCGAGGTGCAGGAGCAGGTTGTGGCTTCTCAACTCCAGGGATTCCTGGATGTGGCAGATTATCTAGATCCATTTCAATCTGGATTCAGGTCTGGTAATGGGACAGAACCTGCTTTGATTGCCTTTGTGGATGACCTACTATGGGAACTGGACAGGGGGAGTGTGTCCCTCTGATTCTGCTGGGCCTCTCAGTAGCTCTCAATTCCATTGACTATGGTATCCTTCTGGACCATCTCTCTTGAATGGAACTTGGAGTCACTGTTTTACAGTGGCTCCAGTCTTTCCTGGAGAACACAGAAGGTGGTGCTGGGGGACTCCTGTTTGACATCCTGGCCATTGGCTTGTGGGTGTTCCTCAGGGTTCTGTTTTATCCACTGTGCTCCTTAACATCTACATGAAACAGCTGGGAGAGTTTCTCCAGAGTTTAGGAGTTTGATGTCACCAGTATGCTGATTACACCCAACTCTGTCTTCCCTTTCCATCTAAATCCAAGGAATCTGTTTGGGTTCTAAATCAGTGTGTGGTGTCAGTAATGGACTGGATGAAGGCGAATAAACTGAAACTTAATCCAAACTAGAAAGAGGTGCTCCTGGTCAGTCAAAAACAAAATCAAGGAATAGGGTAGCAGCCTGTGCTAGGTGTGGTTACACTCCCTCTGAAAACACAGGCATATAGCTTGGGGTTGTTCCCCAAGCTGATTGATCTCTGAGCCTGGATGCCCAGGGTTCCGTGGAGGCCAGGAGTGCCTTTGCACATTTAAAACTAGTGTGCCAGCTGCACCCATTTCTCAAGAGGTCTGATCTGGCCATGGTGACACATGCCCTATTTACATCTCGGTTGGATTAATGTAACATGCTCTATATGGGGCTGTCTTTGGAAGGTATTCAGAAACTCCAAAGGGTCCAAAATGCCACAGCCAGATTGTTAACTGGGACTGGTTACAGGGAACATATCACTCCCTTGTTACAGCAGCTCCACTGGCTGATTTGTTAAATAGTGGCACTAAATGTGCTGGTAGAGTAGAGACACATGCGTCATTGCAAAGAGTGTGGGCATTACCAGGATTTGCATGTAAACTGAATTTTAAAAATATACACATCCAAAGATGCTTCTTTAGGGCAGCTCTTTGGAGTTCTAGTTTAAAATCCATACCCCTACTTTAGGCTATGTGAATTGAAAGCTTGCAGTTGGGAGGCTCTGCTGATAGAGGAAGGAACTGCACAGGAAACAAAGTGCCGTACTGCTAAACCCTGCAATTTAGAACAACCTCCAGAAAAAAAGTCCAAACCTTCTAGAAGGACAAAAAGAGAGAGAGAGAGAGAGAGAATGGCAGAGGATGATCAATAATGTAATGTAATGGCAATAAGAGAGCCGGAATCAATAAAAGGTTTTGGTATATGTCACAAAAAGAAGGAGGACTTGGTATACCGAATATTAAATTATATAGGAAATCAAATTTAAAACATTACAGATATCATAACAAACAATAATAATTAATATGGAAAGATTTAGAATTGCATGAAAGTGAGGAAATTATGGACATTTTTTTTTCAAAGAAAAAAAATTAGGGAAGAGATTAAGAAGATTGAGAACCCTTTTTAAAAATAATATGCTAGAAAGTAGGAAAAGCTACAGAGGAGTATTGAGTTTGCCAATTTCCCTTCTGACCCAGTTGATTGAGCTAAGAAATTTTCCAGGAAATCTTAAATATATTTCAGTTAGAAAAAAATGGACAAAAGAAAGGAAAGAAAGGAGAGGGCAGAATGATTACAAAATTTGAAGAGATTCCCCCATCCCACCTCTCCTTCCTTCTTTTCTCTGAACTAGGGTACCTCCCTTCTGGTCACATGGAGGGATCGTTCCCAGAGAAGGAGGAATCACAGGCAACCCCTCCCCCCTTCTCTCTGCCTCTTTCCCCTCCCTAGGGAGAAGGATGGTTGGGAATGCTTGGTCTCCGAAGAGGTTAGAACTCTCCTCAGAACTAGAGTCATGTTGCCTCAAGCACTTCTGGAGTGGCTCCACCTCATGTCTGCCATGGAGGAACACTGGAAGGGGGGGTATAGGGCAAAGAAACTGCTCCCCAAATCAGAGCAAGGCTTCGTTCGTTCGTTTAGTCGTTTAGTCGTGTCCAACTCTTCGTGACCCCATGGACC